ATCTCCCCATCTGTACCTTTCACTTGTTATTTTATTAAAGACTCTTCTTTTTTCCTCCTCCATTACATTCTCTAATTCTTCTTTATTAACATCTGCATTATCTCCTTAGATCTTTCCCTTTTTATGCACCTGTTCAAGATCATATATTTCATTTAGTAATCTATTTATCTTTTCTCTCCTTTCTTTTTTCCTTTTTGCCCCCATTGCAATAAGTAGACCTCTGATGTAAACTTTATGTGCTTCCCACACCGTTGCAACCGACACATCCTCTGTTTCATTCTCTTCAAAAAACCATTTGATTTCCTTCTCAATTCTTTGACCAATCTCTTCCTCCATGAGAAGTGCCTCATTCAACCGCCATACATAACCTTCTTTCCCTTCCCTACCCCATCTTAACTTCATTGCAACTGGGGCATGATCCGACAGGGTACTTCCTTCAATTTTTACTTCTGCCACCAACTCTCTCATTCGATGTTCTACTAATATATAATCTAGTCTAGAATAAGTCTCATGAACGTGCGAAAAGAAAGTATAATCTCTCTCCTTCATATTCCTAATTCTCCAGATGTCCACCAACTGACATTCATGCATTAATTTCTTTAACATTCTCAAGGATTTGCTTTCCTCCCTCCTCACAGAGGAAGTGGTGTCTATCCGCGGATCCATACAGATGTTAAAGTCTCCCGCTACTATCATATACCCACTTTTAAAATCCATCAATCTCTTCAACACTTCTCTCATAAACCTCTCCGGCCTCTTATTTGGACTGTATATGTTTGCTATTGTACACTCAATTCCCAGTAATTTTCCTCTCAAAAATAGATACCTTCCCTCCAGATCCGTCAATCTCTCCTCCACCTCAAACCTTATATTCTTTGCGAAGCCTATATAGCAACTCCTTTTGCTCTTTTAGTTGGTGAATCCGCATAGAACCATGTTGGAAAATATCTAGTCCTCAGTCTAACCTTCGACTCTATCTCTAGGTGTGTTTCCTGCAAGAATACCACTGAGGATTTTCTATGTTGAAGTTCTTTAAATAACCTGAATCTCTTTCCTGGACAGCTTAACCCTTTTACATTGTAGGTTATATATTGGATTTCTTCCATCTTACTCTTTTCCTACCTTCTCTCTCTTCCTCCTTCCCTTCCTCTTTCTTGTTCCTATAGAGCGTTTTTATCCTACTACCCTTTTCCCTCCCCCCCCCCCCCCCCCCAAATACTCCCCTCAATCCCCCCCTCTCCCCCCTCTTTTTAGGCCTTCACTTTGCCTAACCATCATTTTGTGGAAATAACATCCACCTTGACTTAATCCTTAGGGCTTCACTCCTCCCATGGGCAGCCTCCCCTCCCTCCGGATCCCCCCCTTGACCCCCTCTCTACTTTACTTCTATAGAAGAAAAAAGGAGTCAAGCTGGAGGGACAAAGGAGAAAAAGGCGATGGAACGGGAGCAAGGAGAGAGAAAGAAAAAAAAAAAAAAAAAACACACACACAAAAAACTTCTCTCCCTTCACTCCCCCCCCCTCCACCCATCTCCACCTGTCTCCACCTCTCCCCTTTTTTTTTTATCTATTTCCCTCAGATTCTTCTTCCCAACCTTTTATTTCAATTTTCTGCATTTCAAGTCTATCGCAAAAATATCTCAAGTCCTCTGGGAACCTCAACTGGGCTGTTATTCCATTTTTCCATCCTATTAAACACTCGAACTCCCCCCATCTATATTGCACCTTCTGTTTTTTCATCTGCTCCAGCAAAGGCCTCAGGGCTCTCCTCTTCCGAGAGTCTCTGATGACAAGTCCGCATATATTTGAATATCCATTTCTCCATACTTTATTACTGGTTTTCCTTTAATTTTCCTCCAGATTCTTTCCCTTTGCTGTAATTCATAAAATTTAACAAGTATGTCTCTTGGCCTGTCCTTCTTCTCATAATTCCCCTGGAGTTTCCCATTTCTGGAGATTCCTTCTATATTAGTCCTTTCCATTTCAGAGTTTCCCATTATAAAGTTCAGTATTTTGCAAACCATCTCTTCCAATATTTCTCCTTTTAAACTTTCCGGAACCCCTCTTATCCTTATATTTCTCCTTCTTTCTCTATTCTCTTGAATTTCCACCTTGTACTGCAATTTTTCCTGAGCTTTTTCCATATTAATTATCTTCTTCTCTAATTCGGAAATAATCTGGGTCTGGTCTTTAACTTTCTGCTCCGTTTCTTCCACTCTTGGCAACAACTGCCCCAGGTCATTCCGTATATTTACCATTTCTTGCTTTATTGTTCTCTCCAGATCTTTAAACATTTCTGTCATCTTTTTTTTATTTGGGATTTGTAGATCTTTTTCTATCTCTGATATTTGTTGATTACTGATATCCAATTCCATTGATTGTTTAGGACTATTTTGCATACTTAAATCAGACTCTCCTTTGTCATTTCTGCTCTGGGGCCTTTCTGGGGTCACATTTCCCTGGGATGTATACTTTTTAATTGTCCCCGTTTGGGTCCCTTTAGGCCCAGTTCCTTTTGCACTTTTATTTTTCATTTCTTCTATAACTTTTATTTTCTCTCTCATGTACTTGTACTTTGCAAAACAAAGAAATCAACAAGGTGTAGAAATAGAATTCCCGGCTCTGTCTTCCCACCTTTCTGTATGCCTTAGCCTGCGCCTTGCATTCTTCTTATTCTCTGGGGGTCCCCCCTTTTCCTCTCTCTCCCTGCTTGCCACCAGCTCTATACAGTTTTTATATTTGGGGCCACCGCCAGACTCGCTCACCCTTCCAACACTTCTCGTGAGATGGCTCCAGGCTCCATCTTTCAGCTCCTTTGGTAGGTCAGCTCTCGTCCTCTCAGGGGAACCCTCCAGGACTTTCCTCCAGACTCTTCCTTCTTTGTTGGGCAGGCTCACCATCGACCGCCTGCCAGGGCTCCGGGGGAAGCAGGTCGTCCTGGCAAAACTGAGTCTCTCCTGCTCCCTGTCAGCCTCCGGCCGGGCGGCCGGCTTCCTTGCCTCCCAGAGATGCACTGCGGCCGGTCACGTGTCCCGGCCGCGCCTCCTTGTTTCCCGGCAACCAGGTATGGAGCCCAGGCTCAGCGCCCCTGCCTCTTTCCACTGGTCTCCTCTCCCAGCTCGCCCTGCCACGGGCAGCCGCTCAGCCAAGGAAGCCCGCCCGGTCGAGGTAGGTCACTCCTTCTAGGACTCCATCTTCAAAGGGGGAATTCTAGGGTCCAAGGGGGGGGGGTCGGTCGGAGGAGCCCCGTGCGGTAGCTCCTACCACGAGCTCTCCGCCGCCGCCATAGTCAGGCTCCGCCCACCAGCCTTCCGGGACTCCATACCTGAGTTTTAATATATTTTTTACTTTCTACTATAAAACATATCCAAAAAAAATTTAAAAAAGTCTTCAGAAATGTAGGCCAAAATGTATTCTGCTACATATTTTTGGTAAAAAAAAAAAATCCCAAAAAACTTAAATTGATTGGTTTGCGCAAAAGTTATAGCATCTACAAACTATGGTAAATATACTGTATTTATTATTATTTTTTTTTTAATATGAGTAATGGTGATGATCAGCGACTTATAGTGGGACTGCGATATTGCTGTGGACAACCTTACACTAACTGACACTGACACTAAAACAGTGATGATGCTAAAAATATACACTGTCACTGTACTAATGACACTGTCTGGGAAGGGGTTAAACATCTAGGACAATCAAAGGGTAAACTGTGTGCCTAGCCAGTGTTTTTGTGTACACAGTGTGATATTTGTGCTAGGTAATGTGCTGGATCCTATTCCCTGCTTTGCAGGGAAACAAAATCCAGCACAATGCCTCTGACAGAACACAGCTCTGCCTTGTTTACATAGGCAGAGATGTGTTCTGTCTCTCTCCTCACCGATCAGTGTGTGCCGGTGCTCATCCATTGGCTAATCCATTGAATAATCAGAGCAGAAGAGGTGCTCTAGGAGTGTGTGCACACCCTCCACACCATGGAGTGCAATATATATATATATATGTATGTGTGATTTTGCACAGAGTGGCCACCCTGTAGCAGTACTTCTGCTAAAGGGTGGTAGGGAAGTGGTCACACTTAGTCAACTTGTGGACGTATCCTTGGTGTGGAGGTCCCTTCAAGGTGTACTGGTTGTGATGAGTGAGAAAAGTGATTAAAGAGACTTTTCCTTTACTGACTATACTTTCGTATTTATTCTGCGGGGAGCAAATCATAACCACAATTTTCATGGTTAGGCTTTGGCATGACCACAATTTTCATGGTTAGGCTTTGGCATGTCTCCACTTGGCCAGTAAAGCCAGTACACGTTGTGTCCAATATGAAGGCCCAGAAAGCCCAGAAGAAGTAGACCAGAGCCGTGGAATTTGTGGTTCCTATTGGAATGCTAAATGGCCCTGGGACTAATAAATCTCAAGAGCAGCAAGGATAAGATCAAAGGGATTGATGTGGGCAAATCGAAATGGAAGGTCATCCAGATAGTGTGATTATAGAAAACATGGAATGAGATTATTGTGTAGGCTGAACTTTCCTAAAGAAAATACTGGCTGCCTGGCTGTTTCAGGTTCTCATCTCAAAGTATTGAAATCCAAAGCAGCCAGAATTCCAACTATTTCAGAAAGAGGTCAACCACATCCGCCATATTCTTAGCACAGGTCTTCTTTAACCACTTGCCTACCAGGCACTTATACCCCCTTATTTACCAGGCCAATTTTCAGCTTTCAGCGCTGCCGCACTTTGACAATTGCGCGGTCATGCAACATTGTACCCATATGAAATTTTGATCATTTTTTTTCTCACAAATAGAGCTTTCTTTTGGTGGTATTTAATCGCCACTGGGCGCTTTACTTTTTGTGCTATAAATAAAAAAATGCAAAAAATTTTGAGAAAAAAAAAAAGTTTCTTTGTTTCTTTTATAAAATTTTTCAAACAGGTATTTTTTCTCCTTCACTGATGTGCGCTGATGAGGCAGCACTGATGATAGGCAGCACTGATGGGCAGCACTAAAGGGCACTGATAGGCAGTACTAATGAGGTGTCACGGATAGGCGGCACTAATATGCAGCACTGATAGGTGACACTGATTATGGGTACTGATAGACGGCACTGACTGGCATCACTGCTGGGCACTGACTGGCAGCACTGACTGGAACAACCCCTGGGCACTGACTGGCAGCACTGCTGGGCTGCACTGGTGGGTGGCACTGCTGGGCTGCACTGGTGGGTGGCACTGCTGGGCTGCACTGGTGGGTGGCACTGGGGCTGCACTGTGGGGTGGCACAGGTGGGTGGCACTGCTGGGCACAGGTGGGTGGCACTTCTGGGCACAGGTGGGTGATCTGCTGGGCATGGGTGGGCGGAGCTAGTGGGCACACTGCTGGGCACAGGTGGGCAGAACTTGCGGGTGGCACTGCTGGGCACCGATCATCGTGGCACTGATCATCAGTGCCCTGATGATCGGTGCCGATCCCCGCTCTGACAACTGCCGGTTCTCGGCAGTACTTTCCTCGCGATCTGACAGCGTAAGGAAAGTGCAGCCGAGAACCGGCACTTGCATTTCCCTCTGATCAGCGTGTCATTGGACACCGCTGATCACGTGGTAAAAGGCCGCTGTGATTGGCCTTTTACCACATCACGTGATCAGCTGTGTCCGTAGGACACAGCGATCACGGAGATCGCCGGGTGCGCGCCCCCTGGGGCCCCCTGGGGCTGGTGCTACTTTTTTTTATAACTTTTTTTGTCATAACTTTTTTTTTTTTTATAACTATTTTTTTGGTTGAATTGGATGGACTTTTGTTTTTTTTTTTTCAACCAGAATTACTATGTAACTATGAATTGGGCTTGATGTTAGTGCCTCTGACTCCCCCTATACTGTGCCCTCCTGATCCCAGTATTGTGCCCTCCTGACTTCCCCTGTACTGTGCCCTCCTGATCCCAGTATTGTGCCCTCCTGATGCCAGTATCGTGCTCTCCTGTACCCCCCCCCCCCCCCCCGTACTGTGCCCTTTGTTTTGATCAATAAATATATGTTTGATTCTATCAACAATTCATACTTTAATTCTTGAGAGTAGGTGCGTAAATTGGGGCAGTCTGGTAGGGGCCCCAGTGCATTTCGTTGGGGCAAGATGCTAATAAGATGAACCTTGTTTGACTGAGTGAAGCAGCACAGGACTTTCTAGAAAGGGAATCCTTGTGGATACGTAAAGCCTGGTACGCACTCTGAGAACATTGGATGAAGGATCATCCATTTTTTTTGTACGTTTGTCAAAAACAAACAAGTTACTAGAGTTACAATAATCCTCATTAGACAGAATACAAGTTCCTGCGATAATGTATTGTATTGCAATGTACTATTTTGTTTCGGTCTTGGTAACTTGATTTTTTAATGGACAAATACTGTACTTGACCAGGAGACTAAAGATGGCTTGTCCCCCTTTCCCGTTGACCATTACCTCCTCCCCTTCACATTAATTAACCTCTCGGACAACAAGCTGGAGTTAACAGCTAAAACAGCCTTTTATTACAACAACAATAAATCACATTTGTAAATAATGTCAGCACAGTATAACTGGAGCTTCAAGGTCCTAGTAGGCATCAATAAATCAAACTACCTGCGTCCTACTTAACATAGGCCTTCAGCCGCAATACCACCGACAACCACCACAGATACCACCATCAGAAAAGACTGGGAGCCGTACCTCAGACGGGTCCCTACAAAGTACATTTTTGTGCCCACAATAACCTACGAGGACTTTGCACCCTGCTGGCTGCTGGCAACATTAACCAACACGACCACAACCTAAAAAACAGGCAAGACACAACGGGCAGGAGGGAGGGAAGTTTTCCTTTGCTAATTTTCCTTCCGACTGAAGACCTCTTCCCACATCCCGTCCAAACCACCTCCCTGTGGCTCCACCAGCTCCTAACTTAACCACTTAGCACTCCCCGTCCTATTTTCTTGTCAACTTAGATGACTCTCCTCGCTCCACCCCTTTAACCCCTGTCATGCCGGCCCTCCGCTCATGTCTTCTCCTCTCTTCTTAACTCCCGGCCTCCCTGATTAAACAAAAATCGTTCGTTCTGTCATCATACAAGAAAAATGTTTGTGCTTGTCCCTTCATAAAATCTCACATGACCGGTCATGATAGGCTTTCTCAAGCTGTTAGTAATGGGCTGAATACCCCCCTGTTCGGCTCGCGGTTGAACATCTGAACCTACAGAATGTTCGACAGCAAACTTTGAACAAGACTTCCCCCCCATTCTCTGGAACTCACTACCCCAATCCATCAGACTGTCACCTGCCCTCCTCACCTTTAGGCGCACCCTGAAAACCCATCTCTTCAGGGAAGTCTACCCCACTCTCACCTAACAGCCGATCTCCTCCACTCCTCCCACTACTCCATCCCCCACAGCCACTTCCTCCTGTACCACTATCCCAGGGGTCTCTGCAACCTTTAAGACATAAAGAGCCACTTGGACCCATTTCCGAGAGGGAAAAAAAGACTGGGAGCCGCAAAACCATTGCAACATTTAAAACAAATCCGACACTGCATATATTGCAAAAAGCGCTCTGGTCATGAAGGGGGTTTAAGGGCCCAGTAAGCAAAGGGTTAATCAGGGCCACAGTGTATCGTCATAATCACAATCATAGCCTGGTGGGCAACCTTTTTTTTCAACTGAGCCAAATCTCGCCAAAACCACGATTGAAATTTATTTTGAGAGCCACATTTTTAAAACTGAAAATACATCCCCCATATAGTAATTCATCCCCCATAGTAATTCATCCCCCATAGTAATTCATCCCCCATATTAAGTCCCCAAGTCCCCCCTGTGTCAATTCACTTACCTTTGCTCCGCGCGTTCCTCTCGCTGTGTTCCCGCGCCGTTCCGGTGTAGCATGAAAATCTGTCTCCTATGAGGATCTGTCCCCCTCGACGTATCTGCGCATGTGCCAGTTTCAGGCATTAGCAGCCGATCGGCGATCTCCGGCACATGCGCAGATACGTCGAGGGGGACAGATCCTCATAGGAGACAGATTTTCATGCTACACCGGTCTTTAGGGTGGACTGAGAGGAGCCTAGCTCCGCGGGCCGGATTAAAAGGTCCACCCGGCCGTAGTTTGCCCATTGCTGCCCTATTGCCTGTCACCTGGTGGGCAGTGTGCTCCGGAGCCGCAGCCAAAGTGAAAAAGAGCCGCATGCGGCTCTGGAGCCATGGGTTGCCGACACCCGCACTATCCCCTCCCTCCTAGATTGTAAGCTCGAAAGAGCAGGGCCCTCGAACCCCTTGTGTATTGTTTTGTTACTGTATTGTCTCATGTACAGTCCCCCCTACAACGTACAGTGCTGAGCAAACCTTTTGGCGCTATATAAATACTGTTTAATAATAATAATAACAATTTGCTGAGCGGTATCTTTCCGCATCTGAGTATGTAGTAAGATCCTGCTTGGTTACTAAAATACTAAAATATTATGAAGTCATGCGGTATTTTAGTAGTGAAACATTCATTCATGTTTCATCTGTTAGTGGGGTTCCCCGCTGACAGCAGAATGGAATTGTCAGTATTGCCCATCAATAAAAAAAATGTAAATAAACTACATAAGGTCCCCCCTCCCATCTATATCAAGCCCTTCGGATCTGATATTGATTTTGAGGAGAAACCGCCATGCCAAAATTTTTAATAAAATGGCCCCAAAATCCATACCAGACCCTTCTCCGAGCATGCAGCCCGGTAGGTCAGGAAAGGGGGGGGACGAGTAAGCACCCCCCACCCTCCTAAACCATACCAGGCCACATGTCCTCACATGTTGATGGGGACAAGGGCCTCTTTCCCACAACAGTGGCCAGTGGTTATTGGGGTCTGTGGGTGGGGTGCTTACCAATTGTTTTCTTGGTGACTGTGGTCCCAGCTGCCTGGAGATCACTGACAAGATCCTCACGTGTAGTTCTGGGATGATTCCTCACTGTTCTCATGATCATTGACACTCTACGAAGTGAGATCTTGCATGGTGCACCAGACCTAGGGAGACTGAAAGTTGTTATGTGTTTCTTCCATTTGCGAATGATTGCGCCAACTGTTGTCACCTTCTCACCAAGCTGCTTGGCGATAGTTTGGTAGCCCAGTCCAGCCTTGTGTATGTCTACAATCTTGTCCCTGACATCCTTGGACAGCTCTTTGGTCTTTGCCATGGTGGAGAGTCTGATTGTTTGATTGCTCCTGTGGACAGGTGTCTTTTATACAGGTAATAAAATGAGATTAGCAGCACTCCCTTTAAGTGACTGCTTCTAATCTCAGCCTGTTACCTGTATGAAAGACACCTGGTAGCCAGAAATCCTGCTGAATGATAGGGTATCAAATATTTATTTTTGTTGCTATTCTGTCTCTCAGTGTTACAATACACCGAACATTCGATTTTTAGACTGATCATTTCTTTGTGAGTGGGCAAACATTCAAAATCAGCAGGGGATCACATATCTATTTCCTTCACTGTGTGTATATATACAGTTGCAAGAAAAAGTATGTGAACCCCTTGGTATTACGTGGAATTTTGCATGAATTGGACATAAAATGTGCTCTGAACGTCATCTAAGTCACAATAGAAGAACACAGTCTGCTGAACATAATACTACACAAACATTAGATGTTGCCACGGTTTAATTGCACATAACATGTAAACATTCACAGTGCAGGGAGGAAAAAGTATGTGAACCTTTGGACTTAATAACTGGTTGATCCTCCTTTGGCAGCAATAACCTCAACCAAACGTTTCCTGTAGTTACAGATCAGACCTGCACAACGATCTGGAGTAATTTTGGACCCCTCCTCTTCACAAAACTGTTTCAGTGTAGCAATATTCTTGATGTCTGGTGTGAATCAGTCTCTTAAGGTCATGCCACAGCATTTCAATCGGGTTGAGGTCAGGACTCTGACTGGGCCACTCCAGAAAACGTATTCTGTGCTGTTGCAGCCATTGTTTTGTTGAATTACTTGTATGCTTTGGGTCATTGTCCTGTTGCATCACCCATCCTCTGCCAAGCTTCAGTTGGTGGACAGATGGTCGTACGTTTTCCTGCTAAATGTCTTGATAAACTCTGGAATTCATTTTCCCATCAATGACAACAATCCGTCCAGGCCCTGAGGCAGCAAAGCAGCCCCAAACCATGATGCTCCCTCCGCCATGTTTTACAGTGGGGATGAGGTTTTGATGTTGGTGTGCTGTGCCTTTTTTTTCTCCACACATAGTGTTGTGTGTTCTTCCCAAACAACTCAATCTTGGTTTCACCTGTCCACAGTATATTTTGCCAGTAGTGCTGTGGAACATCCAGGTGCTCTTTTGCAAACTTCAAACGTGCTGCAATATTCTTTTTGGACAGCAATGGCTTCCTCCGT